ACCCCAAGTCAGAACTGAAGCTATGTTTTAGAATTAAAGGTACTAGCACAGTGTTCTAGTACCATTGCTGACCCCAGGGCAGTCTGTGTGTAGTTGCAGTGGTTATAAATTCCATAATTATGATCTTTTCCCCCCTTGCTCTCATTAGCCGAGAAGCCTGAAAAGTGATCTCTGCTACCTTCTATTATTCTCAAGTGCAGGATAAGAAGGTGTTTTTCCAGCTTTTCTTTTTAGCTGTTTAGTCTATAATGATTGTAGGATTTAAAGATGGTGGGTAAGGAAAAAGTGGGAGTGACACCACTGAGTCACATGTGATATATATATATATATATATATATATATAATTCATATGCATGTATGAACTAAATGTTCTTACAGTATCCCATGCATTATATTCAGAAAATGACCAAGACAATAAAGTGATCACATCCATGATCAGACATAGGTACACCTAACATATGGCTTAAAATTTATTGTTTCTTTCATCTGTCCAAGCTTCTATAACAAAATAACCACAGAGCAGCTAGGTTATAAACAACAGAAATTTATTTCTCAGCATTCTAGAGACTGGCAAGTTTCAGTACAGGAAACTTGAATGCTCTAATAGCAACCCACCTGGGTGCACTCAGCCTGCTTTCTCATCTTGGTGCCTGTCCCACTGAGTCTTCATCTGGCAAATGGGAAGAAGGAAGAGAAAGGTATGGGACCTTTTTTTTTTCTTGGTCGGTCATGGGGCTTGAAGTCTAGGCCTGGGCATTGTCCTGCAGCTCTTCAGCTCAAGGCTAGCGCTCTACCACTTGAGCCGCAGTGCCACTTCTGGTTTTCTGGTGGTTTATTGGAGATAAGAGTCTCACAGACTTTCCTATCTAGGCTGACTTTGAACCATGATCCTCAGATCTCAGCCTTCTGAGTAGCTAAGATTATAGGTATGAGCCACTGGTGCCCGTCAGTAGGTAGGTTTTAACATGTGTGTGGGAGTGATACAGACAAACAAGGCAGGGCACAATTCAAAAATTCAAAATCTAGACAATGTTCCTGTCTTATAAAAGTACTAGAGCGTAACGCTAGGCGTCAGGGACAAGGGTATGGATACAAGCATGTATTCAATTATCTGGGATAATTGGGATCGTTTTCTATTTCCCAGTCCCAGGGCTGGATCTCAGGGCATGGGTGAAATCACTTTCTTGATATTTCATCTATATCAATTTCTTTAGAATCTGTTGCTAGATACCTTTGTTCTCTCAGAGACATCATATTATCTTGTTCTCGTATTTTTAGTGCTCCTTTGTTGATATTTGCACATCTAGTTGATTAAATCTCCCTACCACTTTATCTGAGTGGCCCACCTCCCTAACAAGCATCTTTCCCCTGAAGATGTATCATGGGGTGCCACTCTGTTAGACAGCAGGGTATCATAGTTTAGTCTCCTTATAGCTTCTTTGGCTGTGATCAGTAGTTTAGAGCACACTGTATACCATACTGGAATCAAGAAACCCACCATCCCTGGGCTATGCAAGAGAGTAAATACTGAGCAGTTCAGACAGGTGGGTGTGGAGTGTTCACTGTGTGGCTACTCCTACAATGGAAGAATTGCCCATTGTATGAAGAAGGCAATGAGGGTTTCTTCAGGTCATGCAGGTGTTACCTCTGCTTCTAGAAAGGGCAGGAGGTTCTGACAATACCAGCAGTGGTGGGGACCGGAAACATGTGACTTCTGCCAATCAGTGACCAGGACTTACGATGCTGCAAGGTTGTGGCAGATACCATGTCTTCTACTCTGTGGCACACACACCTGTCCTGTCATTGACAGCAAACAGCATGATCAGAGCATACGTGTGGGCCATGTGGTGGGAATCATCAGGGTTCAGTAGTTAACTATGCTGTTTTCTCTCCTGTTTCAGTGACAGTGCCTGTGTAGGAATGGCGCTATGACCAGGTACAAGCAAAATTCCTTGTTGGCTTCTTTATCTGGGTATGCCATAAGTAGAAAAACCCAGGATTTTTCTTGCCTGGGATCCTTTGACAGTAATGCTTGTCCAGGAGCATTTAGAAGAGGCAGACACTGGAGCCATGTTGCATGTCTGGAGCACCAGAATTAGTACTCCTGTAGCATTCACCTGTGGGTGCGGCAGCAGCTTAATATGTTTGTATTCCTTTTCTGTGAGCGACAAACCTCTGGGCACAGTGCAGGGAGCCAGTGGTGGTGTGAACTGAATGGGCTCCTGCCCTTAGTCTTGAGACCCACGTGTGTCCACCTGTGGCTTCCCATACTCTTGGTCTCAGAGGGCAAATGTCCCATGCCCTGGGTCTCCAGGGTGGCACCTGCCCTGCTCTCTATGCTGCAAAACCTGTCTCCCTCACTTCAGGGCCTGGAGCAGGCTATGTTGAAGTCACTCTGTGGAGCTGAATTTGAGAGGTGCTTACCCCCGATTAATGCAATGGAATGTGTGTAGAATCCTCAAGCTGGGGAAAGTGCAGGGATTTCGGACCTTTACAACAGACCAAACTCAGATAATAGCTGGCTATCTCAAGATGGCCCTTGGTTGTAGCACCCCAGGGCTTTGCCAGGAGATGATGTCAGGTCTGCTCTCAAGCAAGGTCGATATTACAAGTTTCAGGTTACTTTTCATAGTGGGCTGCTGGCTTGTGAGAATTGTGAGACTTTCCAGTAGCTAGGATTGCCAGAGCCCACACAGAGAAATTGTTGACATTCATCCCTGCAAAACAGGGACCTCCCTGGCCTTGGCTATTGGAGAGGGGTGGCAAAGATTAGGGTATTTTCTGTTTCTGTGGTTTTCTCAGGTCTCTGAATTTTTCAGGGTTCTTGAAGCTTACAAGGCTCTAGAACCTCTCCTTTGTTTCCAGTGTTCTACCTTAGTTGTCTACCCCAGAGAGCAGATATTTGTTACTTTGTTTCATTTTTGTGGAAGAGGATATGGGCAGAGTCTAGCTCTATTCTGCCATCTTGGATCTCTCAAAGAAGCTATTTAGACTTGAATATTGTGTTCTCATATAGTTTATCTCCATAAACACTGTACAAGGTAACTTCCTGACTTTTTGACTGAAATGACACATTAATAAAAATCATGTTTTATGCAAATCAGAATTTCTGGAGCCTGAATTTCTGTTAACATGAATATTTCCCAGAATTAAAGCACATTTTAGGGTCAGAAATTAATTTCTTCATGTGTGAAAGTTGTACAAATGGACATATATATATATATATATATATATGGGGTTAGTTTGTTGGATTTGTATTTAGTACTTATGTTAGATTTTGATAGCATACAAGGATTTCAAGAGGATAAATTCAAACTATAGAGGTTTAAGTCAGAAAGCTTCATTTATGTTTTGTACAATAGTAGTTTAATTTATGTCAAAAGAATATGATCTTACGACAGCATTTGAAGGTACAGAGACCAATCCCATGAATGAGAAGAAAAGTCTCAGTGTCTCAGTACTTGCTTAGATATGAGGTACTAATTTTAAAGTTGTTTTATTTTTTTTTGTCATGGAGCTTGAAGTAGGGCCTGGGCATTGTCCCTGAGCTCTTTTGATGAAGGCTAATGGTCTACCACTTTGAGTCCTCAGTAACTTCCAAAGAGAGCTAAGAATATCATGAATGTTACCAACCCCCCCCCAAAAAAAAAACAAAAAACAAAAAAAAAACCCTTCAAGGTCTGTGAGCATTTTGCCAGCAGAACTCCTAAAAAGTCACATCGTAAAGCTAAGTAGCTGTGGTCATGGGCATGCATCTCCTTCATAATATCCGCACTCTGGCAATATTAAGCTTCCTTATGAAAATGCTAAGAGAAATTGATATGCTTTAGCATATTAGTAACTGAAATGTCCTAAGTCATTACAGTAGACTGTAAGATGCTCATTTCTTCTTGGGATGGGAACTGGTCACACAGTTCTACATAAACATTTGAGAAATTTTGGTATAGCTCTATTTTAGGCAGTAAGTTTTTATGAAGCTTTAGTATTGTGTTAGCTTTGTAGTGCTGTAAATTCAGTGGCATCAGGCAATACACATTTAGCCTAGAATTCTACGGAAGCTGGACTAAGTATCACAGATTGCAATTGAGGTGTTCCGATGAGGATGGGGCTGTATGTATGTGCTTCTGGATGCTCTAGAGAAAGCCTGGTTACTGGCCTCTTCCAGCTTCCAGTTGTGTCCCACATTCCTTGGCTCCTGCCTTCAGCCCAATTCCTCCATATTGAAAACTGGGCAGGTTGAGTATTCCACATTCTGATTTTCCCCACGCTTACAACATCCTCTGAATCTGCTCCTCTACATTCTTCTTCCACTCTCAAGGGGTCCCCTTTCTTGTAAGGCCTCCTATGATTTCATTGGGCCCACCCAGACAACCCATGGGAAGATACTCTTCCCATTTTAAGGCCCAGCTTCTTTTCCTCTGGGCAAGGGGATAAGAACATGAGCATCTTTGAGCGACCAGGACTCTGCTTGCTGATACTATAAATCGAAAGTTCATTTTCCAAGAAAAATGTAAACTAGGCAAACTTTCTGTTTAGTTTTCTTAGACATTGTTAAAAACAACAACAAACAACTCAGATGTTAGGCAAGCGGTGACTCACACCTGCAATCCTAGCTACTCAGGAGGTTGAGGTCTGAGGATCACTGTACCAAGCTAACCAGAGTAGGAATGTCCATGAGACTCTTAACCAAAGAAAAGCCAGAAGTGGAGCTATGGCTCAACTGGAAGGGCACTAGCCTTGAGCAAAAATGCTTAGAGACAGCAGCCAGGCCCTGAGTTCAAGTCTCAGGACCAGCACAGAAAAGCAAATAAACAAAAATCCTCATTAAGTAAGAACCATATTAAGTAAGAATGAATTCTGAGTGTCCACTTGTTATAAAACAATTGCATTCCTGTGGATGTATATTAGGTACGCAGAGACAGGAAGCTATTGGAAGCTATTGTTCATTATTCTTGTGAGGTGTCTGAGTAGCTGGAGGTGCTATACAAAGTACCACAGACTAGGTGGTTTAAACAACAGAAATTTATTTTCCTCACAATTCGGAGAGGTAAAAGTTCAAGGTCAAAGTTTTGGCAGGGTTGATTTCCTTTTCTTCTGAGGCCTCACTCCTTTGTTCATAGATGGCCATCCTGTGTCTTCCTGTGTGTATCTGGGCTCTGGTCAGTCTTCTTTTATGTAAAGACACCAGTCCTGCTGGATTACAGTTTATCCCCGGTGATCTCATTTAACTCTTAATTCCCCTTCTAAAGATCCTATCTCCAAATATAATCACTGGGGGTTAGAATTTCAATATATAAATTTTAAGAGGTAAAAATTCAATCCATGACAATATCTAACAAATTACTAACTTATAAAAACGAAAGTAATAGTAATAGAGGAGCATTTTTAAAAGCAGGAGGATGAAGTGAGTGAACCAGATGGAATTTTTACACATGTACTCAGTGACAATCACTCTCAGGTAGATTATTTTTTTCCTACAAAAATGGTGATTCATTTTCACTTTGACATACAATGGCAACTCTACTGGAGATCAAGTTTTTGCTGGGTTTTCTTTACATAAAAGCTCATTTCAGTTCTTCCATTCTGTTGAAGAACAGGGATCCAATGGAAATCAGCTAGCAGCTTTGGCTAAGAATGGGCCTTTAAAAAAATCAGAAAACATGCTGAAAATATAAAGATTTTTTTTTCCTTTTCCTCATATGGTGTATAAAAGTACTGAAACAAAATCACTGCCTGCTCCACAGGACAGACAATATCAATTTGAAAAAAGGCTCCAGACCAAAGAATCGCATAGCCTTGTGTCACAATACTTACTATACAGTTTAACAATATTTTATCAAAAACTTTTGCACTTGTGATTCAAAAAAAATCTGGAAAGAGAAAGAAAAAACAAGAGGCAAGGAACTGCACAACCAAAAAAAAAACCAAGAGGAAATTATATAAAACATTTCCACCACTATTTTAAATGCCAAACTTAAGCAATAGTTAAAAAAAAAGAAACAACATAATAATACAACCTTCTGTTTAAAATAACAGCACTGTCCTCTGCCTCTCTCCCACTGAATTTTACATATGAACAGACTATATATACTGGCTTTTCAGAGAAATGTCCATTTGGTCTGTGACACCAGTCAGGTTCATACTGAATCTTCTCATGGTCTTCAGAGAATATGCAACTCCATGCTGTTTCTGAGCTTCCAACACTCTGGGTTAGGTGCAATGTCTCAAGTATAATACATTTCTCCCTTTTCCTTTACACAGTGCAGAGTATATGGGCTTAGGTTATGTAGGTTCTCTCTTACTCCAGGTCACTGTCTTTCTCTAGACTCAAGGCGGTATTCAATGGAGTGCAGTAGTTGGGCTTGTCAGAAGGTACGAAGCCTGGCAGACACAAACATTTGTAGGAGCCTTCCGTGTTAATGCACTTGGCATTTTTGCACAGGGACATCCGGTTGTTCAACTCATCACATTCGTTGACATCTGCAATAGACCAATCCGTGCAGGTCAACAGTGCACACCATTAGAGAACACTCACTTGCACTCACTGATGCCCATAATCCTTACTGCTGGCCACTCTCTCCCACCCTCCCCATCCCCTGCCAAGTTGTACCAGCTTTGCTGTTAGTGCTCTTTCAGTCACATGCAAAATAAAGAAGAGCTTTTACAACATCAAGGAAGTTCTAGGTTTTCGTTCCCTATTATTGAATACAATATTGGTATTTTATAGCCGAACATTAGGAAAGGAGGAGGAGCCATATTACTCCTGAATTCCTTCCACAGTTATGGAAGATCTACTAGATTTGGCCAAGCAAGTTAAGCAGATTGCTTGCTCTCAGAGCAGCTTCTGGAGAGCCTTTAGTTCCATTCTTAGATGTCCTTCACACAAGATCCATATAGACTTGCACCTGCTGGAGTCTCCTGTAAGAGCCCTTGCTTCCTAGCTCCCAAACACATCAAAAACTGGGATTTGCAAAACCAAAATGGGCAGAAGACCAGCTGGAGGAGGGAGGAGAAAAATAACCCTTGAACACAGTCAAGGATCTTTTACGAAGAAGCAACATGGGAGTCCCACAAACTAGGTGGAGTAGAGGTTTGCCATGAATCATGGCAGAGGGAGGATGGACTCCAGATGGTTCTTTCCACACCGTGACAAGGCAGGCTTCTATTCCTAGATGTCTATATTCCTTTCTGTTGGTCACATATGCAATAAAATAACTACTTATTACACAGTCAAAATCTACTTGTTTTAATTGTGGTTATAAGCATAGAACATAGCTGGGTGCTGGTGGGCTCATGCTTGTAATCCTAGCTACTCAGAAGGCTGAGATCTGAGGATCATGGTTCAAAGCCAGCCCCGGCAGGAAACTCCATGAAACTCTTATCTCCAATAAACCATCAGAAAACCCAGAAGTGGTACTATAGCTCAAGTGGCGGAGGGCTAGCATTGAGCTGAAGAGCTGAGGGACAGTGCTCAGGCCCAGAGTTCAAGTCCCACGACTGACAAAAAAAACAAAAAAAAACATAGAACATAAAACTGACCATGCTAATCATATATAGTGTGTGTGTGTGTGTGTGTGTGTGTGTGTGTGTGTGTGTGTATGCATCAATTGTGAGGCTTGATGAACTCCAGGGTCTGGGTGCTATCTCTGAGCTCTTTTTGCTCAGACTAGCATTCTATCACTTTGAACCACAGCATCACACTTCTGGTTTTAAGTCTCATAGACTTTGCTACCCCAGCTGGCTTTTAACCACAATATTCAGAACTCAGACTCATGAGTAGCTAGTATTATAGGCATGAGCTACCAGTGCCTGGACATCCTAATAATTTAAAGTGCATAATCATAACACATTAAATAAGGATGTATATGCATTTATGCATTTATGTTTGTACACATACATGTATGGATATGTGTGTGTGTGTTGCGTTGCTGCAGACCAAACCCAGAGCCTTGCATAGACTAGACCAACACTATCACTCAGCTACATCCCCTGCTCCTTATGGTGGATTTCTGCAAAAGTTCTCATTTCCCAAGTTGAAACCTCACAAAAATCTACCTAAAATGGACTCTGCTAACAAAGTCTGGCTACAGGAGATCTCAGGAAGAGACCTCAGGGACACGCTCACATTCCATTACTCTTACCGACACAGGTCATCTTGGCCATATCCAAGTGGTACCCATCAAAGCAGTCACAGGTATAGCCTTCCTGGACCCTCACACAGCGACCATTTTCACATCCATTCAGGATGCCACATTCCTCAGCCTGCAGCTCCTCAAAGCTATTCAAAAATCCTGAAAGGAAAAAGCAGGAGTTAAGTTAGAAAAATGTTCTTCCTGTACTCTTTAAAACTACATTAGGCTGAGGAGTTCAAGACTACTAGCCTAGGCTATGTGGTGGGACTCAGTTTCAAAAAGATATCCAAAACAAACAAAAAAGGATATATTTATACTAAAAATTATGGATATAATATATAACACATATAAGTGTATATTTTATATAACCTTTATATATGTATATTTATTATCTGACATTAAAGTTAACATTAAAATTTAAGTCAAGTTGGGCGCCAGTGTCTCCTGAGAGCTGAGGACTGTGGTCCAAAGCCAAGCCCGCAAGAAACTCTGTGAGACTCTTTTCTCCAATAAATTACTCAAAAAAAAACCAGAAATGGCCAGGCACCAGTGGCTGACTAAGATCTGAGGATCACAGTTCAAAGCCAGCCCAGGCAGGAAAGTCCACGAGACTCTTGTCTCCAATAAACCACTAGAAAACCAGAAGTGGCACTGTGGCTCAAGTGGTGGAGTGCTCACCTTGAGCTGAAGAGTGCAGGGACAGCGCCCAAGCCCAGAGTTTAAGCCCCACAAAAGCTGGAAGTGGTGCTGTGGCTGACGTGGTAGAGTGCTAACCTTGAGCAAAAAGAAACTCAAGGACAGCTCCCAGGCCCAGAGTTCAAGCCCCAGGAATTGGGAAAAAAGTAAGTGAATACCAAAAATATATATGTGTGTATGTATATATATATATATATATATATATATAAATTCAGCATAAAAGTATTCAAACATTTGTAAGTGTTGTAGAGATTGGCCCCACATCTTGAAGTTAGGTATATTAAAATGCTATCAAAGGAAAGCAAGGATGGATTCTGGTTTCTCTCTTCATTATGAAAAATATTTATCCAGGGCTGGGAAGGAGGCTCAGTGGTAGAGCACTTGCCTCGCATGCATGAGGCCCTGGGTTCGATTTCTCAGCAGCACATAAGCAGAAAAAAGCGGGAAGTGGCGCTGTGGCTCAAGTGGTAGAGAGCTAGCCTTGAGCTGAAGAGCTGAGGGACAGCGCCCAGGCCCAGAGTTCAGCCCCCACGACCGAAAAAAAAAAAAAGAAAAAACACTATTATTCAAAATTCCGCATTTCCCGCGTTTTCTGCAGGCCAGTGTTGGGACTTATTTAGGGATGGCAGCTATGGGACTGCAGTCACATTTCAGGTCCCCAAGAGTCTGAGGACTCTTCTTTTGCAACTGGACTTTGCAGGCCCAGAAAAAAGCCCAGCTGGCTTTAGCCTGTGAAGTCTGTTTGCTCTGGCTTTGAAATGAGCTTTATACAAGGGATCAAAGCACAAAAGCAGTGAAAAAGCCTCAAAATATCCTGATAAACGAACATGCATCACACTTGCGTTTAGAAAACCAAAAGGCTTTTGTTTTTAAGAAAACAAAGGATCTCTTGTTTGGTTCTTTTTATAGTTTAGGAACCAGCTTTGAATCCCTTGGACAAGATTTAGAGGTTTACTGACATGTAAATAATATCACTGGGTATGGAGATTAGCCATTTTTCAAGGGCGGAGGAGGTTGTAAATACAAACCCATAATAACCTGTCATATGTCATCCATACAACCACACCACAAATTGGCTTACGAAAATAAAAGATTCAGGCTGGGCATTGATGGTTCATGCCTGTAATCCTAGCTACTCAGGAGAATGACATCTAAGGATCATGGTTCAAAGTCAGCCTGAATCGCAATCCTCAGATCTCAGCCTCCTGAGTAGCTAGGATTACAGGTGTGAGCCACTGGTGCCCAGCTCAAAATACAATCTTAAACTTCCTATACAATCTTAAACTTCCTATATTATCTGGACTTTGTAGTAATCTTTCGTTGGAACTACAGGGGGCAGTAAAATACTATTGCTAGTCAGGGCAATAAGTTTGGGATTTTTAAAAATTAAGCATGTTACCCAAAATGGCCCCTTGTCAAAATTTTAAACAGGAAATATGACCTATTCTCAAGAATATAATAGCAGATACCCCAACACCAGCTCGAGAAATATTAACCTAAGGAAAGATTGTCTTAATTCGTGAAAACACTTTAAAATCCCATGCATTCTTAACAAAAGCACTTTGGCTTTATATCTAGGGATGTCATAGTTTTATTCACATGAAGGAGAGTTCTCAAAATACTTCTTTGGGACTATAAAACTGGGAGCCCTGCAGCTCCTGATCTGAATCCGACCTGGGACTTATTTTGTGAATGGACACAGGTATATCCTTCACTGACAACAGTGTGGCTGGCTTGGGAGAGAGCAGGGAGGAGGCCTAGAGTAGTGACCACAGACACGGGGCTTACAAAACCTAAAGGTGTTACTGTTTGGATCTCTGTTGGAAAATATGGTAATCTCTGCTCTCATCTCCAGTTGTAGAAATACTGTGTACACTGAAGTTTATGGAGGTGGTGAGTCACAGTGGCTCAGTGGAGTAGCTGCATCAGCCTCTCCTCTGTGTTCCATTCCTGCCTGCTCAGCATGGCCAGGGACCTTGTTACTGGTCAGCAGACTGGCTGGAACAGGGAGATGTTTATGACTCATAAGACTCTGGAAGCCATTAGGGAGTGAAAGTGGAGGTCTAACTTCCAATGTCGCTATACAGGGACCTTCTGCGACATCAACATGTTGACTTCTTAACATTTGCAGTGAATTCAAAAAGAGCTTTAGAGCAATGTTGGTATTTAAAAGAGAGTATATAAACCAGGGCATTTCAACAGTCAAATTCCTGGACTCAGAACCATAATGCAATACAGGCTATACCCAGCTGTGGCTTAGGACAGTGTTACATACCTGGTGCTTATGGATTTATAGGGCATACAGGGATTTCCCCCAGTCTTGATATTTCTTTCTCTTCTTATCTTTTTTTTCTCTTTCTTTCCTCTGTATTGCCACTTGCACCATGACTCTAGCTCTTTTTACTTCATGCTTGGGCCCATCTAGAGTGTGATTCTCCTATTAACACTTCAAGAATAGCTGGGATGACAGGTGTGGGTCACCATGTGCAGCTTTTCTCAGTTGAGATGGAGATTTCTCCAACTTTTTCCTCGGAGAGGCCTTAAACAGTGATTCTCCCACATTCTGCCCCCTGATTAGCTAAGATTACAAGCACAAACCACCAGACCCAGCTTCTTTTTCCTAAATAAATGTTTGATGAATTGTAGCATATACAATGGTGAGTACAGTATGAGAACATAGTCTAATAGCTGTGAGTACCTTCAGATCTCTTTTAGGAAGTGATGTGTGGTCATGTGTTGTTGGGTAAAATGAAGTGTTTCTAATCTATTAATGTTAGAAATCAATATGGTAGGTAATGCCTTGGGGATGGGCAGCAGGAACTTTGCAGAGATTGGCTACTTTTTTGATCTGGCTGGGGTGGAGGGTGAGTATCATTCACGTGTGCACTAATTGACCTAGCTGAATTGACAGAATATTGTTTTCCTTCATGATCATGTATATTCTAAAACTTTTTTTTTGTCAGTGTGGGACTTGAGCTCAGGGTCTGGGCACTGCCTCTGAGCTTTTTCGCTCAAGGCTAGCTACCACTCTATCACTTTGAGCCACAGTACCATTTCCAGTTTTCTGGTGGTTAACTGGAGATAAGAGTCTTATGGCCTTTCCTTCCCTGGGTTGACTTTGAACCGTGATCCTCAGATCTCAGCCTCCTGAGTAGCTAGGATTACAGGAGTGAGCCACTGTTGCCGGCTGACATTCTAAATCTTATAGATCCTTCTACCTAATTAAATATAACATCTTTTGAAGCGTGATGGATATACCATCTCAAATGATACCAAATTGGTATCTGATTTCAGGCTGAAATCACTTGAGGAACTGTAACTTCAGAACAGGCCACACAGCCCTGTCTTTCCCTATACCTAGAAAACCATAAGGATTCTTTAGGGAGGGACATTCTCCACATACTACATCTGCAAATAAAGAAGCCTGATCCCCAGAGACTGGTCCCCAGGGCTGCAGTGGCCCTGCATGAGCAAGCTCTATGGAGTAACCTCACCTTCCACTGACTTCTACATCCTCCCCTCTCCACACAGGCCTAGTCCACATGCCTCTTGTCATTCTCCCAAATTTATTATCTAATATTTTTGTCAGAAAAATATAAAAGATCACCTTAGGCCTTCACTCTTGAGATGGAATAGATATTATGCTTTTCTTTTACCTTTTTTTTCTCTTTGTCTCTGCACTAGTATTAATTTGATCTTTAAATACAAAGAGTCAATGTAGGATTATGAAACAGAGAATCTCTACACCTCTGTAACATAGAAATAAAGAAGGCAAGGAAAGAGGCAGGATAGAAAGAAGGCAAGAAAGAAAAGAAAGGAAAAAAGGAAGGAAGGAAGGAAGGAAGGAAGGAAGGAAGGAAGGAAGGAAGGAAGGAAGGAAGGCAAGCAAGCAAGAAAGAAAGACGGGGGAGGGAGGGAGGAAGGGTGGGAGGGAGGAAAGGAGGGAGCAAGCGTAGTCTACAATTGCATTCCCCATCAATAGGGTTTGCTTGTTTTTTTAAGCCCCTCTGACATAACAACCATCTGCCCAGATCAATTCATTATAGGAAGAGAAGTGTCTCCCAGGGCAAGCCTGGAGGGACCCTGATCACTACTTAAGGTGTGAGGACATGAACCGCTGCCCACACTGCCAGGGCCCGGTGCAGGGCATGGGGGGCACGTGGAGATACAGGCAGCGCGCAGGCGCAGCAGCGCGCAGGCGCAGCAGCGCGCAGGCGCAGCAGCGCGCAGGCGCAGCAGCGCGCAGGCGCAGCAGCGCGCAGGCGCAGCAGCGCGCAGGGCCGTCCAGGGGCCTGCACAGCTGCATCGTGGACAAGTGCCCCGGGATTACGTCCGGAAAGCATGGAGCCGTCTTTACAGAGCCTCGGTTTAGCTTCAAAGCAACTGAGCCATTTTGCTTACGGTCCTGGATGAAGTAGGGGTCGGCCTCCGGGGCGTACTGCTCGCTGAAGTCCACCAGGGCGTCGCGGCCGTAGGGCTGCCGCCGGCCGCTCACCGGGATGTTGCACAGCTGCGCGTAGTCGTCTGCGGAGGAGAGGGAGAGATGGCCAGGGTGAGAGCCTGCCCCCCTGTCCCCCGTGGGCCAGCCCCAGCCCAGAGCGCCATTCCCGCCAGGGCCTTCCCTGCCTGGACCTCCTCCTACAGCCAAATGAAGATTCCCAGATGAAGACCCCATCCAGCCTAACGATTCGCAGCAACACATCCCGGAGCATCGAAGGCCTGAATAAGATGGTCCTTTGGGCCTACAGAAGAACAGCTTTACCCAAACCTCTCAGGTGGAAACAGGAAAAAGGGCCTGCAATCCTGGCTACTGAGGAGGCTGAGACCTCAGGATTGTGCAAAGCCAGCCAGGGAAGTCCATGAGACTCTGATCTCCCATTAACCAGCATAAAAGCCAAAGTGGAGCTGTGGTTCAAGAGGCAGAGCTCTAGCCCTGTAGTGGAAAAGCTTATCAAGAGCATGAGGCTGCATTCAAATCCAGCATGCACACACACACACACACGTTCTGATAAGGTGGAAGCAAATGCCAGATCCTTCTGGATCTTTTGCATGAAACCATTTCATTAAGAAAATATTAATTTTGCTGGGCACTGGTGACTCAAGGCTGTAATCCTAGCTACTCAGGCGGTTTGAGATCTGAGGACTGTGATTCAAAGCCAGCCCAGGCAGGAAAGGCTATGGGACCTGCATCTCCAACCAGCCACCAGAAACCAGAAGTGGAGCTGTGGGCTTACAGAGTGCTAGCCTGGAGCGAAGCAGCTCAGGAACAGCGGCCCAGACCCTGAGTTCAAGCCCCCTGGCTGCCACCACCACGATCACCCGCAACAACAAAAGAAAATATTAATTTCATTCAGGAAATAGCTGAAACTGAGAACAGCTCCTTGACTCAAAAAAGAAAGATTAACCTTCAAGAAAATACAAATGGTTGTCAGTTCTGTTTAGGGTTTGAACGCAGAGGCATTAAGCATTTCCCTTAGAGGGTAAGATTGTTCAAATGTTTGTAAGTCTTAGCAGTTGAGCTCATCTTCTCTCCTAGCTTTAAAATAAAAAAATGCCATTTGTTGTACATCTGAAAAGAAGATTTTTGTCAGTATTTTATAGCCATGCCACAGTATGATCAAGATTAACTATGAAAAATGAAATAATTCACCTACATAAGTCTGTAAAACTAAACCTAGAGATGGCTGAGCAGGTCTTGAGATGTCAAGAGGGTCAGAAAACTCTGACCTCGATCCTGCGTGCTCTGTTTCAACCATAGAGAACAGTAACGTTTCAAGTTCTCACAACTGAGCAAGGCTGAAAGAGGGAGCGGATGGTGGAGAAACCAAGTCCTGGACGGTGTCCTATTCACAAACAAGCCTTTCTGAAAGAAAGGCTGCACTTGCACTACAGCAGATGACCAGGAATTATGTGATGGAGAAAGTCATGGATTAATTGTAAAGAGCTGATGTACTGGCATGGACAAAGGATGCTAAGTTGTGTCTGGAAACTGCTAGAGGCTTCCTAAGGAAGCTTTGACTTGACCCAAGCTGGTCAAGTCTGCAGTTAGCAGAGGGGATTATGGATACCTCTGGGGCTTGCTGCAGCTTCTTTCTCCTCTTACCACACTTTTTTTTAACTTTTAAGAGTCCTGAGCTTATTGTCCTTTGTGCCTTTGGTTCAGTTATCGAAGCCTCGTGGGGCATTACGTGTTCTCTTCCTGTTTGAAGGTGAGCTACAAGGATCATCACAAAGACAGTGTATTCTGAGTTATTTTCCTGGGAGCCTGGACGGCTCTGTACGCATTGGTCTGTCCCACCTCTCCTGTCACACACATCTGCTCTGATTCAGGGCTAGGATCAGAGGCTGGGGCTCAAGACCCGACAGCATTCCTCACTTTGCACCTTCACACGTTGGGCCAGCCTCAGTTTTCACCTCTTTCATAGAGTGATAATAAATTCTGGCCTGTCTACCCCATTAGTGGCATCTGAAAAAGGCCATAGTTCACATTGGACATTGTTCACAAATTGTGAAAGGTTATATATTCTTTCTCACAGGCAAAGATCACTAAGACCCCTCGGAACAGCTACAAACAGATGTTCATAGAAAGCCTTGGAAGATGGAAATGTTACAGAAATGTTAATTCTAAAATCCAAAGTTATCAATGGGCCAAGAGCATTGGAAGGGAAGTGTCCATGTGTTTTGTTTTTAATTTTCTTCTAAGAGTAGTTGGAATTTTACTTCATTTCCAACAACAAGGTACAACATTGGCTTAGCAAATGTAACTTCCTGGTTGGAGTGTAATAAACTATAACCAATAGCATCTATTAACCCTAGGCCAGTACAATTCATATCACAGGAAAAGGTGCTCAACAACTTTTAGCATAGGCTTGAATACATTAGAAAGGTTATGAGTATACAATAAGTTAGAGGTAATGGGAGTTTTCTGTATCTTTGGGAGAGCAAGCGGTTGCACAGAACACTGTCATCAGTCTTGGACAAGGAAGGTATCCTCTTTAGGATCTTGATCTAGGCAAATTTCTATCCTGTGCCTGACCTCCAAGCATCCCAAGGCACCAGAAGACCCCATTCAATCTTAAAGATGCTTGGCCTTGCTTGTCACTAGAGTTGGGTCATGCCAGAGTCTGGCTTGGGGAGCAGCAGTGAATTATGGTTGGCTCCAAGTACAGAGGATAGCAGATCTCTTAGCTATTTCCACAGCTTCCCCTGAGAACCCCTGAGACCCTTTTGGCGGCTACTTCCTCTAGCTCAGTGCATGGCATGTCCAACTTATTTTCTGTCCTTAGAATCTCTTTCCGGTCCAAACCCCCTTTACTTACACACATCAGCAACAATGAATCACCGGGCACTCTCAGGCTAGGTACAAAGGAATGGGCTTGTTTTAGCAAGGACTAGTCCTGGGAGGCGTACTCTGTACAGCAATGCCATTTCTGAGGCTCCAACCACATGTCCATCTGGAATCTAGCCGAACACCAATGTGAAATCAATAGGAAATGGAAATATTCACACCTCACAGCCTCTCTCCCAAAGCGCAAATGCTTAGCTCTGGATCAAAGCTACAAAAGGGACATACGAGGGGGTATGGGACACGGTCACTAACAGGGCTAAACAAGATCCAGGCCACTAATCACACTAATTTTCCTGGTGTGACAGATCCAAATGACAGATGGTGTTGCTTTGATTTTCACTTTAAATGGGGGGAAAAAAGTTTTTAAGTCCCCTCCACCTCCCCCCCACCGCCGGCTGAGGAGTCAACAGGCTCGGGGACCCCCGCTGTCAGAGCCATGGAAAGCACATGGCTGCATCCTGGCAGGAAATCTCCTGTTGATGACAGACACATCTGCAGGGCTGCGCTGGGCAGTCACATGTCCCGGGCCCCTCTGGTGCGTGAGGAGGACCACGAGGAGGGGCTCCCTGCCCCCTTTGGCAGATGAGGCTCAGCTGCTTTTAGAGATGAAACAGCTCGCTGGGGCTGCTACAGGGCGAGGCCGGAAACTCAGTGCTCTGGCGTTAGAACTCACACCCAGAGCAGCAAAGAACTCTTCCACACGAACAAAAATGGGTCCTGTTTTACTCAAGATTCCTCACCAGGTGTCTGGCCTACAGGTCTGAATGTGGACTATTAACTGATGTAGAGAGCTGTAACGTGTGTTACACACACACACACACACACACACACACAACTAGGAAGTCAGGGAGGAAATGGAATGGCAGACTTATTTACCCAGTGCCTAATTCTTTTCCTTTGTGGAAACTGACAAATGATAGACAAAATTTTAAAAAATGCAACAGATTTGATTGTGTATAGAATATTCCTTCCAGGATGGCTAGAGGAGGTGACCAGCCACAGATGACATCTATACAAGATGGTGCAATTGGACATGTGTCTGTGTGTCTGTCTGTGTAACTCCAATTCTACTCTTGGTTACAGAATAAACTCCTACTACTTGTGCAGAATGGGTAGAATTGTGTACCTGTGAAACTAAAATGTGCAGAGCTGGAACAGAAAAATAGAACACACACCAAAGAAAGGACTTTGAGTCTTAGGTTCTAGTCCTACTTTCTCCATTTCCTAGCTGCTTCATCTGCATGTGTAGGCGTTTTAGTTCCTCTATCTATTGAGCAGGATCTCATCACTCTTTACTTCAGCTGTACGAAAAGTGAATCAAGCCAGGTGTCAGTGGTTCACGCCTGTCACCCTAGCTACTCAGGAAACTCTGAGACTCTGATCTCTAATTAGCCACCAAACAAAAAGCTGGAAGTGGAGTTCTGGTTCAGGTGACTAAGCACTAGCCTGGAGCAAAAAACGTGCAGAGACAGAGCTCAGGCCTCCCCCCCAAAAGTAATTCATCCCTTGTCTCATCGAGTGATTGGTAGGTTGGTTCATTCATTCACAGACCCAGAAGCTAAGAATAGTCTGAACAGGGTAGATGCTGGGAAGACAGGAAAAATAGAAAAGATTGGGGGAAACTTCATTCTGTATGGATGAGTACCAGAGGAAGAAGAGGAGAAAAGGTAACAGAGAAGGAAAGAGAGTCATAACCATACAAAAGAGATTAAAAAAAAAACTTCAGGGAAACTGAGGCTACTGGAGGTCCTTGATACACAACAGTTGGCATAAGGAAATGAGCAGGCATGCCCCGTTAAACCCTGACATGCCGCACATTGCCCACGAATCTCAGAACAACCCAAGAAATAACTGTAATTAGCTCTTTGATTTCCCATAAGAAAGCCAGGGTTTACCACATAACTGGCCTAGGTGAGGTCTGAAAGACTTGTTCCGCCAAGCCATCCACATTCTTTCTATTCCTTGGCCACCTCCTGACACCCTCAGAAAATTATTAAATGCCTTCCCCAGACCTCAAGTCTCAGGTAAGCACATTGAGCATTTGTGACTCCAACTCCAGGGAGAGTCATAACTTTGAATGCTGATGAGCTCAGCTCCACCAGGGTCCACTCTATCATTAGCAGGATTTATGTTTATTGAATTTGCTCGATTTATTAGGTGAAAGAGATCAAATTGC